TTTTTTTTATTTACGATGAAAGTTCTCACCCGTTCCCGGGAATTCGAAACGATTCGTTTTGAAATTTGGGAGGAGAAAGAGAAAAGAAGGATTTAAACGGGAAACACCTTCTTTACATGTGATTTTAAGTTTTTACATCGGTGTTAGTTGCTTGTACAGAGTTTATACCGACGTATAATAATTCTAGATTATTGAAACTATTAATACACTCGTGTTTGATGTTCGTAAAGATCAGAGAAATATAACACGCTCGCGTATTTTACATGTTCAAATGTTAAAATCTGAGATTTATGTCCACGAGTTGGATTTCGTTTCTGTCCAGTTTAACGATATTTGTTTCGTTACATCTTTAAAACTCCATTAAACAGACAATTCCGTCATTTTCTAACAATCTAGCGATTTAAAGAAATTATTTAACAACGTCATTTAAATGAAAATTGTTTAACGTTATTTTCTAACAATTTAAAGGAAGAAAAAATTCAAATATAAAGGCGAGACGTGTCTCAAAAACACTGAGACTTTAATAACTGCTATTTCTATGCGTGCTGGTATTTTTGAAAATTAAAAAAGTGTTATAAATCAATAGATCTATTATAGAAAGAAATCAATATATCTATTATACATTCTCTGAAAGACTGGATGATATAAAACAAAAATAACATTTTTTTTTCCAATTTTTCAATGTTTTTCCATGTTTCTCTAGTTTTTTATTATTTTATTTGGAAATATAATTAATGGATTTTTTTTCAGTATTATGTGTGAATTTTTATGAATTAAAATTCTTTTCTTTTTATGAATCTTTCAGTTTTTCAGTGGCCACCCTATATATTGTAGATTGTAAAAAGCACCGTGTTTTACATATTATTTGCTTTGCGTTTTCCGTGTAATCTTTCATTCTGAAATTGTTTCACTCTGCAAACGGAGAGAAATTCGTAGCTTAACAACTGCCTACGAAAAAAATTCGCAAAAATATCTCTCACGTATTTCTGGATTCAGGCTTTGATCGAACAGAGATCGAGGAGTGGCGTGCACACGACAGGACACCGCGGGTGTCCTCGTCGACGTCCCGACGTCGATGAAAATGAACCGTTCGCGCAACGAAAGAGAGAGAGAGAGAGAGAGAGAGAGCTTCTTCGAGTCGAGTTTCATCGAAGTTTATCGATCACGTGTTTCCGGCGCCCGCACAGCAAACGCGTTTCGCGGTAGATTGAAGCAAATCGCGGTTTCGCGAGCGTATCCTTTGACGTCCCGCACGTTAATAGGGCAATGAGGTTCCCAAGGAAACTTCCATTATATCGTCGGCGAAGTTGCGGAAAGTTGGCGTAATACGGTGATACGCGCGAAACACGAGGTTTGCGCAGTTTGCGGCAAACAGAGGCCCGTTCCTTCCAACTGATCCGGTCTCATCGATAAGCTCTCGCTTATCAGTCAAATTTCGCCCTTTCTCGCTTATTAAATTTCGTCTACTTTCGAGTTCCCTTTTCTCTGATTCTTCCTCTTCCCCGATCTTCGTTCGATCGATTATTTAGCGTCGGTGGATGTAAGTTTTTTTTTGCGCTGTTTTTTTTTGCCACGGCATCGGTAATTACGATTGCATAACTCCAGGTTACGCGGATGTTGACGTAATGTGAATGTCTGTCGGAGTGAAATTTAATATTTTCGAATTGAGGCTGGGGTTTCAGGAGGTCGCGGATGCTTATGCAAATTCATACTTTTGCACCAAGGGTGGCTGAGGAGCAAGGACATCGTGTTCGTGATTCAGATTCCACATCGAGGATTCATGTTTTCATGTATCTTGTAGTTGAAGATATAGAACTTAAGTGAAGATTCGATATGATTATTTTAACGAGTGTCGCGCTTTGAATATTTTGTTGCATTTTTTTTACGTATTGCGCGCGTCTTAGATATATAACTTCATATATTTTTGGTATTGTGCATAATATATAAAATATACAAAATATATAATGTATATAATGTATATATATATATATATATATATAATATATAAATTTTATATACATACATAGTGCAAATATAAATATACAAAATATACAAAATACACAATGTACAAAAATTCGTTTGATAGTAAAGAACATTATAAAATTAACGATAGACTTTATGGATTTTTAAACGATATGTTTAACGCATGAAAATAGTGTGGTGTATAAGTTGTCAATGATCTTTCCTTCTAATCTAAATATTAAGAGTGTAGAGTTAAACTTATACTACAAAAACTTGTCGGTTTGATAATGTAGTTTGATATCGAAGCAACATTGTAAAATTAATGATAGACCTTGTGGATTTTTGGACGATATGTTTATCGTATGAAAATAGTGTGTCGTGTAAGCTGTCGATGATCCTTCCTTCTAATCTAAAAATTAAGAGTGTAGAGTTAAACTTATACTACAAAAACTTGTCGGTTTGATAATGTAGTTTGATATCGAAGCAACATTGTAAAATTAATGATAGACCTTGTGGATTTTTGGACGATATGTTTATCGTATGAAAATAGTGTGTCGTGTAAGCTGTCGATGATCCTTCCTTCTAATCCAAAAATTTTAAATGCAGATTACGATAACTTGCCTGGTCCTAAATTAATAATTTTCCCGAAATTTCCCGACTTTAATCCCCACGTAACTCCCCAAAGCACTCCGAAAATCCCCTCAAGTTCACCCCTGTAAACCTTGAATCTCCGTACTTCTAAATGAATATTCCCCTTGAAGCGCCCGACGACGGATCCACCGCATTCCGCCCGGTGAAAAGAAATCCCGGAAATTACCAATTATCGTCTTAAACCGCTTCTTCCAATTCTCTTTTCCCGTCGACCGCCAATCGCGTTAAAAGGCTCGATCCAGTCGAGACACTGGAGCTGGATCTCGGATTCTCCGCCTTAACCTAAACTATTTACGTACGTTTCGCCGCGCGATTAACAAAGTAACGTCGTTACCTGAACTCGATGAAGCCGTGATGCAGAATCAAGGCCATGAAGTCACCCTGAAGATCGTCCCTCTCGCCGGCTAGCAGCAGTATACCGTCCCAGGCCTCCGGCCGAAATTCCAATTCTAATTGAACGTGCTTGTAAGCAGCCTTCAGGGCAGGGAACGCCAGCCAACCGGATCCGGTGAACCGCGGCGATCTTACTTCGGCCTCTGCGAGCAAAAAGTTAGAGATAGAAATAGAAACGTTGTTATCATTATCGTTATCGTTATCGTTATTGCTACTACACATCGGCCACGTGACGCATGTTAAATTGCTCGACAAATTGCTTCTCTGGCGAAGAGAACGGCGAGAAAGATCTTGCCGGCGCTTTTTGTTCTTAATTTTGCAACGATCGTTCGCACGTTTGTGAATTGTTACCGCGAGGATTAGCTGTATTTCTGTAGCGACTGACGAATGTGTTTGGCTACTGTGTGTCGTAGCTCGCGATATTTAAAACAATGCGAAACGTCGGGGCGAATTTCTATTTGGCTTCCGGCTTTCGCAGAATTCTCGCAAACGTACGCGGTTTGCTCGAAAGACTCTCTTTGTTTCGAAGTTTTCCGCTCGTATTTCGTGTTCCAAAAGTTATACCGTCATCTGAATGCGAGAAGAAAAAAATTTGTTTGATCTTCGGGAGAGTGAGAGAAAGAATTTTCCACGTTGCGCACACAAACACACACACAAACATTGAGAAGAAGTCACTCGTTTCTTTCACGGAATAAAAATTGTCAAAATCCTGAAATCACTGAATTTTGTCCCGCGCTGCATTTCGTATCTCGACAAAACAAAAACTTGTCAATTGCCAAGAGAAACAATGGATCCTTTCACCCTCTCGCAAACAGCAATTCCCAAAAATCTATCAAATGTTGCGACTCATAGCCCGACATAAAGGGACTTGTCAACTCCGGGAACGCGCGCGGCGTGTACACAAAGTTGTAAAAAGAAAAAAAAAAAAAAAATCGATTTGTCGAGAATTCGTAAAAAAAAAAAAAGGAAAAAGAGAAAAAAAAAACAAACGATATTTCATGACAAAAGGGCGATTTTTCAATGGAAATAAATCGCCGACACGTCACGAACGAGGCCGTGGGGCCGTTTCGCGCCATAAGCCTGCGTTTCGTTATCCACTTATCTCGGCTCGAACTAATTGCGCCCGTATATCGACGAAGATCGGATCGGTGGCGAACCAGTGCCGGATCGTTGTCTTTCGCGTTCCTTCTTGTTTCTCGCTGTCCGAGGGAACGAAGAGTTATGGCCCCGCGTTCCGCCGGCGGCTGGAAGCGGAAACGGGACGGACAGAAAGCCGGGAATCGGGTTCCAGAGTTCCAGGGACGTGCGAAGCTTAAGGGAACGTCGTTCACCGTCGTGGCCGCCCTAAAGCCGGCTATCGGGATGCGCAGTAGCGTACGCTGAAGAAACCTGGACCCACCGCCACGCTTATTGCTGCTCGCGAGAGCGCGAGGCCGGCTATAAATCAACTAGACACCACGAATGGAAAAACTCGCGAGCTTCGCTCGCACCGGCCAAATGGAATAACCGCCTCTTGATCTTCCGGGCCGTTGGCGTAACAAAGCGTTATTTGTTCGACAGACTGTATCGCGTCCGTCCCGCGAGCGAGCCAGCCGGAGTTTTCAAGTTGCTCGAATTCTTCCTTCTTCCATCGGTTCCATTTCTTTGATTGCTTTTATTTCGTGCGGTTTGGTTTCTATTTGATTGGTGCCCCTCTGGGTTGGTTCTCGTCAACAGATGGTGAAAAGTTTGGAAAAATTTGGACGACGCTTTCTTTTTTTCTAGCATTTTCAAGTTATTCTGGAATTCTTCTGTGTATCTTTATTATTCTGTATTACATTTCTTCACGGTACGGCGGTTTCCAGAATAAGTGAAAAATTTGGATGATGTTTGTTCTTTGTAATATTTTCGCACAGTGTTTTAACAAGTTTGTTTCAAATTATTCATTAGAAATCTTCTATGCATCTTTTATCTTATCCTGTACTTTACTATATTTCTATATTTCCGGGACAGAAGCGAAAAATTTGGATAATGTTTTTCATGTATTTTTGCATAGTTATATATAGTTTTCAAGTTGTTTACTTGAATTTCTTTTTTATCCTATTCTGTACCACATTTCTGTGTTACAAAAGGTTCTCGGGACAAGCAAAAAATTTGGAAAAAGTTTTTGGTAGTATTTTTGTATAATATTTTAACAAGTTGTTTACTCGAATTCTTCTTTATTACTACCTATTCTAGTTTGTACTTTCACGATGTTTTATCACAATAATAATTTTAAACTAAACCTTACCTAAGTAAATTAGTACATTTTAGCAGTACAGATACAACGAAAGCTACTAAAAATAAATTTGAACAGATTTGAATATAATTTCTGGTGATATTTCTTCTACTCTGAGATTCGATTCTTAATAAGTCGATTACTAACAAGATGTAGTTCACGAGCCATAGACTTCTCTTTTTATAATTTTCAAGAGACGAAAGACAATCAGGTAACTTATAATTTACTCGCACAAGTTCGTTTATTTGTTCAACCGCTTTTACTATCAAACTTGGTTCGTCCGTTCCATCATCAAACTTGCTCGTCCATTTTTTTTTTTTTTTTTTT